TTTTTGAGTCTCTGTGTTCGTGCTACTTCCTGTTTTATTTTGACAGTGTCTCGCCCTGTATTCAGTATTCAGTGCATTCAGTTTTGCTTCCCCTGTCTCGTTATTTGTCCCTCCTGTGCTCCCATGTGCCTCCACTCTCCCTAATCACCCTTTTGTGTATATATTGTGTGGGTTTCCCTGTTGTTCCTTGTCAGGTCATCTGTTCTTACCCACCTGTGTCTCTATTCCTTCGTGTTTCCCAGTTTCGATTAGCTATTAGTTGGGTTGTCTGATTTGTACTTTTACATTCAACCTAATAAACGGCACATCTTTGGTTAAAACTAGTTCCTGTTCTCTTGTGTTATTGCGCCTTGGTCCTCTCTCTGCTTCACACAATCTGCAGCTGCAGATCATGACAACTCCCACCTTTGTTGTAGCGTTCGTGTCACATACAAGTGACGTTGTGGGACAAGTCCCAGTGTATACTGTACAGTTCAGAGTCACAGAGCTTCCTGGCTGGATGGTTTCAGATGCTGATTGCTGGACCACAGCCTTGATGTTCAAATCTGAATCTTTAACACCAAAAGTAATGCTCTCTGAAAATGTTGATGTGTACAAATTGGAACATATACAGTAGTAAGTTCCTGAGTCAGAAATGCGCACATCTGAGATTATTAAGTCGTTTTGACCTGTTTCAGTATCCAGGGTGAAGCGTGGATCACTCTTGAATGTATCATAAAATGTGGGATTGTTTTCATATACATAGAAGGTAGAAATGAGTCTTGGTTTCTCTCCCAAAGTTTGCTTATAGCAGTAAAACCATGGAGCTCATTCACCTTTACTGTAACAATGCAAAGTCACGCTGTCCCCAGTTTTAACTGATATGAAATGTCTTTCTTGAGGAACAGAAGAAGAGGTACTCAGGTTGTTTGTCTGAGCTGAAGTGAAATAAAAGACAGACCAAATGCAGGTTATGGACTCTTTAAAGCATGAAAATACATTGAAGCTTTCAAAATCAAACTCACCCATTTCCCCCGAGAACAAACATGTGAGACAGATGACAAACTTCGCAGATGTCATCTTCTTGAAATAATCATGCTGAATGAAAAGAATCTCAAACCTTTCTTCACTCTTCTTACAGAAGACTGTGCCTGATTGGCCAAGCAGAAGTGACACAGTATGTCTTTTTAAGGAAACATGATCACATAGTGGGAAAAAACAATGTAATGTTTGGTTTTCTTCCTGAATGCTATCGTTATTTATATTTACTGCGGGAAGAAACGGTAAAAACAGCATTTAATAAGGAAAATGCTCGAAAGCACTCTCCGCCTGTGAGCAAAAACAAAACCAGAAAACCCCACCCTTTCCTATTGGTCGAAAAAGGACCATATCGACCAATCAAAAAATGATATGGCAACATGGCATTTAGTTGTTTAGGAAGGGGGAAGTTTTAGGAGTGATGGCGGTGTTTTGAGATGTGAGATTTGCTACGTTTAGCGCAAATCTTGTGTAGTTAGTGTGTAGTGTAGTCAATAGTTTTGTTGTGTGTGTCAGAACAATGAGGCGACTGCTGAATGTTACAGGTGTTGCAGGATTGATACATCTCCTGCTGTCAGGCCTGCAGGTATCAGGCTGTTGTTCTCCTTTATCTCATAGTGGACAGAAATTATTTTTTGGAGTGGCACAAATAATTTGTGTGGCATCCGATTTGATGCAGAACAGCTGATTGTTCTGTAAATAGTTTGAAATGTTTATTTAAAAAAACGCCTTGGCTGCATTTTTAAGTAAACAGCTGTAAAAAACTTTGTTGTTTGCAAAAACTCTGTTACTTTTTGAAGAAGTAACTATATAATTAATTACCCAACATTGGTCATTATATACTGTATTTTGCAGACAGAGTGTTACAGGACTCTCTCCCAGACCACAGACTCATTGCTCATTGCTCACAGTGGTCCAAGGGGCCGCTCAGGGAGTTTGTGTGTTCGCTCAGACACATGAAAAATTAGAGGGAACATTGGATGTCACCCATAAGATATGCTAAATTTGGAAGTGATATGCTGGCCTTTATTTGGGTAACTGTAAGGTGCTTCTAGATATCATTGTCTGCATTTTTTCCATTTGAAGCTTGATATCTGAGAATTACGAAAATTAAGAAAGAATCTCTGTCTGAGGACCAATGATCAAACTGTTTGTCCAATATTCAGAAAGGCTCAATAAGTGCCAGATATAAACTAATCCAGTTTAAAGTCATTCACAGATTACATTTTTCTAAACTTAAACTTAACCGGATCTATAATTCTGTATCCCCCTTATGTGATAGATGTAATATCGGTGAAGGTTCCCTTGCACATCTATTTTGGCATTGCCCTGTCTTGAAAGCTTTTTGGAGCCAGATTTTTACGTGGTTTTCTAACCAATTTAGGAAAAAAGTACCACTTGATGGTACACTGGCTATACTTGGATCATTTGCATCTATCGAATCTTTTTCCTTTTCACAAAAACAGATAATTACAATGGGTATGCTTTTTCACATTCCCCTCCCCGGACACTCCGCTCATCAATGGGTTCCCAGGGTTACAAAAGCACAACCCACAGATTCACTGGGCCAGGAAAACGATTGCTAGCTGGAGTCTTTTTGTCTCGCTAAGATCAGTTGTTCCCGTAAACACAGGGTTCTCCTTCCCACAGATCTCACAGCCACCTGGTTTTTCCTGGATACCCTCTGAGTATCATTTTACAGGAAGTATTCAGTATGGATAAAATGCTCTAACTCCCACCTCACCGTCCATATGATTGTGCTATTGACCTATTACCCAGAGGTCTGCTGCTGTCTGGCTGACTTTACAACCTGTCTCAAATCCATGGAGAAGTACATTCAGGAGTCGCTGCCAGCAGGAATTATCAGACTGTCCTCTTCACCGGAAGGTGCTGGCTTCTTTTTTGTGCCTAAAAGGGATGGGTTTCTCCGGCCATGTATTGATTATAGAGGGATGAATGACATCACAATAAAGAATAAATACCCACTCCCACTCATTTACTCAGCTTTCGAGTCAATCCAGGGAGCCAATGTCTTCACCAAGTTAGACCTCCACAATGCTTACCACCTCGTCCGGATACGGAAAGTAGATGAATGGAAGACAGCGTTTAACACACCTCTGAGACATTTTGAATACCTCGTTATGCCATTTGGGTTAATTAATTCTCCCGCTGTCTTCCAGGAGCTTGTGAATGACATGTTCAGAGACTTTTTGGATGTATTCGTTTTTGTCTGTTTTAAGGACACTCCTAAGGACATTTTATGACACTGTGGTGGTGTCTGCTATTTTCTATGTTGTGGTCTGCTGGAGTGGTGGAATGGCAGAGAGGGACAGGGGGAAACTCAACAAACTGGTCAGGAGGTTCAGCTTTGTCCTGGACTGTCCGCTGAAGTCCATCAAGCAGGTTGGGGAGGAGAAGATGTTTTCTAAGCTAACATCTATCATGGACAACACCTCCCACCCCCTACATGAGACTGTACGAGCACTGAGTAGCTCGCTCAGCAGTAGACTTTTACACCCACAGTGTAGGAAGGAGCGCTACCGCAGGTCATTCTTACCAGCAGCTGTCAGACTCTATAATGCAGCTTAACATTCTTTTGGTCATCTTACTCACCAGCTTGTTCGTTTACTGTACATTTTATACATAGCTCTGTAGGTTTTATACATAACCCTGCACATTTTAAATATATCTCTGTACAATTTTTTAAAAATTTTCTATAGATATTCTGTATATTGTTACCTGTATATACCTGTGCATGCAAACTTCGGTTGCTTACGTTTATAGGACCACTTTGTGCCCTCCTTTTATATTTTATTTTCCCTTACTGTAAGAGCTCCGTAACACCGAAATTTCTCATCCGTGGGATAATAAAGGTTTATTCTATTCTATTCTATTCTATTTCAATCAGGTATTAAAGCACTTCACAGCTGAGTCTGCACGTTTGAGAGTTTTTAAATGATATCTTACTAACTGCTGAATCTGGGAATTCCGTCTTACTTGTGCTTTTGGGTCTCACAGCAGGTTTTGATACAGTAGATCACAACATATTAATTTCTCACCTAGAACATCATGTTGGAATTAGAGGCACTCCCTTGGAGTGATTCAAGTCATACCAGTGTGACAGAAGTTTCGTCGTCTCAATTGGGAAATTTTAATTATCCTCCGCCCCCTCCCATGTGGTATACCTCAAGGATCCATCCTCGGGCCCCTTCTTTTTTAGCATTTACTTCCCTGTGGCCATATTATTAAAAAACATAAAGTCTCATTTAATTTTAATGCAGACGACTGTCAGATTTATCTACCCCTGAAAAACAATGACCGTAAGATAAATACAGTGGTGAGAAATAGCTTCTTTCAGCTGAGGCTGCTCTCTAAAGTCAAACCTTTTATTTCTTTTTGTGACTTAGAGAGTTTTAGATGGATTTGTGACCACACACCTTGATTATTGTAAGGCATTTTATTGTGGTTTATATTATATCAGGCTTCACTATCACGCTTGCAAATGGTCCAGAATGCTGCTGCTTGCCTGCTGACAGGGACACGCAAAAATGAGCACATTACCCTTGTTCTTGCCTCTTTACACTGGTTGCCTGTCCATTTCAGAATTCATTTAAAAATTCAATTGTTTGCTTTTAAAATTTTAAATGGCCTGGCTCCAACTTACCTGTCAGACCTTCTACACCTATATACTTCGCAACTGACCAGTCACTCCTTGGTGTCCCCATGCCAAAACTGAAACAATGGGGGTACTGAGCTTTTGCTGTTGTGGCCACCAAATTATGGAATGAGATGCCCCTGCATATTAGGCTGGCCCCAACTGGCCACATCACTTTTACAAACACATATTTTTTCCAAAGCTTTTTAGGAGTAGTACTAGTGTCAGCTAGTCAGTTTTAGTCAGTTTTTGGTCACTCTTAATCATTTTTTATTTTGTTAATTTTATTTATTGTATACTTTATTGTCTATTTTAAATTTAATATATACTGATTTATTTTTAACTTGTTTTTTTAATTTATGTATTTATTTTATTGTTATTTATATTTATTTCTTTGTCTGTTTAATGTATGGTTTTTACCTTTTATCACAGTTTTTTGCTGGAAAGCACTTTGGTCAACCATGTTGTTTTAAATTGCTTTATAAATAAAGTGGGATTGGATTGGAATGTTAAACAGGTGAGAAAAAACATGCAGGGGAAAGTCACTGTCAACAGGAACACTTGGAAGACTACTCCTCACAATAATATTATACATTTTTACACAAAAACTAAGCCTCATCATGTGAATACAGTAAATACCGCCACAAAAACCTAATCTTATCACAACCATTCAACAATAAAATATGGAATCAAAACAAGTGTCCAATACTGAACCCACCATAATAAAGAATCAAAACTTCAAATGATTAATAAAAACCTCAATACAACAACAAATCCAAAAAGACAACTAAAAATTTGAAACTTCAAAAATAAATTAAACCCAAAATCCAAAACAAATTATCTATTAGAATTACATTTACGAGAATTTCAAAAATATGCAAGTGATCAAATTCTGTTAGCAGTTAAATAAAGAGAAGATGCCAAAATCATCACTACAGCAGAAAGGTAATACTAAAAATCATTATATCCATTATGTTTACTTTATACCGGAGTACACACATTCCTCCTGGGTGTTGCTCGTCTGTCTTCTTGCTTGTTTCGTCCTAATTTTTCTCAAAGCAGCATAATGAAGGTTGTCCTCTTGGGTGCTCTGGATACCAAAAGAATCAAGATAACAATTCAACAAGAAATGTCATTTCCTAAAAACACATGAACTTCCACACTTTAAAACTCACCTCTAAATTTACAGAATCATTTGCGTTTGAGTCTGCTGAGAAAAAAAAGGAAATGATTTAAACTTAAATGCCACTATTTTAAACCACAAGAGTAAAATATGAACAGAAATTCTAACCTCTGGATTGGCAGTTGTTCCTCTTTTTCATCTTATACACTAAAAGAGTTGATAACACACTGATGATGGTGGTGAGTATTAAAGCTGTGCTTAAGAAATACATCAGGGCAGCAGAATCTTGCCAAACTGTAAAACCAGGAAATGACAGAGCTTTTTAGCTTTTCTTCCTGAGTTCATCAAATATGATCTGCTCCTATTTATAATACAATGTGAGTCACCTCTGATGGAAAAGTGACTTACCCCCAAAGTCCAGCTTGGTCCCGTTTCCAAACAGTATGTGTCCACATAGGGCGACAGCACAGTAGTAGATCCCAGTGTGAGACACATTCAGGCTCTTCATTGTCAAGTTATAGACACAGGTGTGTGTTCTTTTGTTAGCTTTCCTCTCACACTGATCATTCCTGACTCCATGGGTGTAAAAGAGTCCTGGTTGAGAATCTTCAGAGTCTTTGAACCAGTAAACACTGTGTTCTCCATCACAGCTCAGCATAGTGTGCACCATACAGTGCAGACTTACAGAGCCTCCTGGCTGGATGGTCTCAGATGCTGACTGATGAACTAAAGCTCGTATGTTTAAATCTAAATCATTGACACTGACAATAATGGTCTCTAAGAACGTTGATGTGTACCAGTAGGAACATATACAGTAGTAAGTTGCTGAGTCTGAAACACTTAAGTCTGAGATAATCAAGTCGTTTTTTCCTTTTCCATTATCTAGTCTGAAACGTGCACTATTGTTGAATGGACCATGAAATTGAACAAAATTGGTTTCTGACTTATAGAAGGTAGAAATGAGTTTTGGTTTCTCTCCTAAAGTTTGTTTGTACCAGTAAAAACGTGCAGCAACATTCTGTTCATAGTAACAATGTAAAGTCACGCTGTCTCCAGATTTAGCTGATATAAAACGTGTTTGTTCATGAACAGAGGAGGATAAACGCAGGTTGTTCTTCTGAGCTGTGGTGAAATGAAAGACAAAGCAAATACACATTGTGGAACATGGCAGCCGAGAAAAAAGACCTTAAAAGAATTAGACTGTGGTTAAACACAAACTTACCAATTACACCCAAGAACAAAGATATCAGGTAGAAGACAATGTGTGCAGATGCCATTGTTCCAAACAGTCGTACTGAATAAAAAAATGGGGAGTCTTCACTTTTAAGAGTGAAGAGTACATTTCCCTGGCCAATCAGAAGTTACACAGTACATGGAAAACTAGATCACATGATCAATGACATCTGTAGTGTTAAACTTAGTAGCTGAGAAAAAAAACAGAAGAACATCATAGTTTAGATCAGAGGTGAGATATATTAGATGTCAACTCGTTAAATATCCTGTAGACAATGTGATTGTGTTGGGCAGTGTGAGACCCATATTTAATGTATTAAACCATGAAAAATAATACACAAGCACACAAAATATACCATTACCTTTTTAATGTTTGTTATGTTAGATACATTTTGGGAAGTTTTGATCTTTTTATATTTTTGAGTTTGTGTTTAGGATTTTCTGTTTTGTAGGATTCAGATAATTATTTATTCAAAGTTTTTAAATGACATAGCAAAGAAAAATATTTATTTGTGCCCTCTTTTCCCTGTTAATGCCCTACCTTGTGTGTTGTGAATTGACTACTGAGTCCCCGGTGTTCTTTCTGGAGGCCTGAGGAATCTACGAACCGGGCGAAACTGTGAAAAGGTAACAAGAGTTAATACAAGTAAATGCTGAAAAGCATGAGAATGGTCTTCGGGTCTGCCGTGGTATGTTTACAAGTAGAAAAATAAAGAAGTGAAAAAGAGTACCGTAGAGAATACATGCTAACTGTCATGAAACAGCTGTGCAGGCAGGCAGGAAAGGACCCAAATGCAAACTCACAGAAAATGGGATTTACACTCAAAATACAGCTTTATTAGCTGAAAGGGAAAAAAGGCAATACAAAAATAAACTGGGACTCTATAAACATGAATACACGAGGAAACACAGGGAAAGACACACTACCATGAGGGAGATTACGACACGAGATTGAAGGAGATGCTGACATAAATACGCAGAAGGATAAGGAGGAAATGAGAACACACGAGCAACACAGCTGACACGAATAACCCTAACGAGACAAGGGAAGCAAAACTGAACAAAACATGGAAACACAAGACCTGTACAATAAAACAGGAAACAGAGGAACATGATGCAGGAGTGGAGGAGAGGCAGACATGATAGAGCGAGGGAACACGAGGGAGTGTGAGGGAGGACGGGAGAGAGACATGACGCGAAGGGAGACAAAATATCATAACATGTCACATGGACTGGGAAGACACAACACTCGGGAAAACAAGAAAGTCTAAGGAGATAAACATAGATGGGAAACATGGAATGACACACACAAGGAAGGGAACATGGGCAGGTTGTGTATGTTTTTAGGACTAACACACCCAAACACATACACACAGAAGGGGGCACAGAGGGCAAAGACATGAGGGGAGCCTAAATGTACAAAGGTCGATATAGACACAACATAGACCACTAAGAATAATAAAGCATAACACACAAAGTCATAAAAACACAAGAAACACAAAATGATGAGTTGCAGAGAATATCCTGACTGCCAAAAGGTGAAAGGAGGGTTACACCCTAAAAAGGTTGCCATTTTTCCGCCAGGTTAACACAGAGCTGTTTTTGGACAGTGAACGATGCCCTTCTCTGAGTGGCAGGCAAACTGGGACGTAAATGAAGGACTAAGTGAACTCAAAAAGGCAGCTTTAATACTGAACACTTTCCAGAAAACAGAACAACACAAAACTCACATAAAGCAAGAGCCACATATTCACAGTGTAGAAACGAGGTGATTTGGAGCAGAACAAAACAAGAAGTATGTTTTGTACTGGCTTATTTCTTTAAAACATTGATTCAGCAAGGTAAATGGTAAAATGGTAAATGGCCTGTATTTGTATAGTGCTTTTCTAGTCCCTAAGGACCCCAAAGCGCTTTACATATTCAGGCCGCATTTTAAGGCCGATTATGTCACAGCGACACGACGAAGGATGTCCCAATTCAAAGGCTGCTCGAAATGCGGCCCTCAAATGCGTCCTTAATTCCCTGAATTTTAAGGATGGGTCGGTGTAGCCTTCATGGCCCAACATATCCCAGATTTCATAGCGCGG